GCTACAGCTCTACACGGCCTACAAAATAGCTGCACTGTGCAGCTATGGTGTTAAGGGAAGTGGCCCGGTACATGGTACCAAAATCGTGTACATACAGGAAATATTTCACTTTCGCGCACTCCCAAACCCTTTTTTCTCTTGTTTTATGACATTCTACAGCCAGATGATTTGTACACACAGGCGAGAAAACCGTTTGTGCGCGCAACATCCGGTTCGGGAGTTATGGCTCTTAGAAAATTCCAAAAAGTTTAAATGCATTCAGGTGTACCAAAAGTCTCATTACGAAGTTACGAACCAATCTCTTTCAAATTTTGCACGTAAATGCACATGGCCATGAAGATCGTTTTTACACCGATCCACTGTTCTAGCATGTTTTTCAGATTTTAAAATGAATTTCAAAAATTTTAAAATTCATTTTAAAATTTGAAAAAAATCGTGGAACTGTGGATCGGTGTAAAAACGATCTTCATTGCCATGTGCATTTACGTGCGAAATTTGAAGGAGATCAGTCCATAACGAGACTTTTGGTACACCTGAATGCATTTAAACTTTTTGGAATTTTCTTAGTGCCATAACTCCCGAACCGGATACTGCGCGAACAAACGGTTTTCTCGCCTGTGTATACAAATCATCTGACTACAGAATCTCATAAAACAAAAGAAAAAAGGGTTTGGGAGTGCGCGAAAGTGAAAGTTTTCGTGCATATACACGATTTTGGTACCATGTACCGGGCCACTTCTCTTAAAAACTGTTGAGGACTGTATGTAGATTATGCAGTTTGCCATCCGAAACTCTATCAGCTCCTCCGCTAAGTTGTATTTTGTTTTCAGCAAAGGTGCGGAAAATCTTAGGATAGTGGCGCTGTGCTGGGAATTAATGTTCGCCGCTGTGAATGAAAGGTTAGGGTCAAGTTTGTAAACTGAACGTCAAAGTTTATTTCCCAACAGTAAATGCATGTCTGCATCCGCATCCAAATGGAAACATGTCACCATACAATTCGTAATTTCACTGGTTAATTTCAAGAGATTTTAATGAAAGAAGAAACAGAAGCAGGAATTTGTAGAACGCCATAAGACCAGCGGCTCCGCAACGTCCACAACCAATAGAAAAAACGCGCAAAAAGATAATTATTATTCTGCAAGACATCGCCCCATCTGAATAAACTATTCCGACCACAAGCTGGAACCTTTAAGGTCACACAGGGTCAGCAGAACGCTCAGGGCAATGCAAGACAGTTTCTCCAGACGCAAATCTTGCAGCTGCCAGACGAGCGTCCCAAAAACGCAGCAGACCGGCCAGATCGTAGCGCAAAGACACCCAGCACCGCACCAGACGAATGGCAGCGCACGGCAGATCGCGACACGATGCGATGAGAGCATCGAGGTGACCCCCGAACGACACCCCGCCGACATTCAAGTCGTCGGGAGCATGCACCTCGCAGTGTTGATGATTCATGCGGGCGAATTCCGAGAAGCGCGTCACGCTGACCACATACAGCGCCGAACGGATTCCGTGGTCAGTCCGCGCCACGTAGTGCATAATATCCAACATCAATTAAGACGTCTGCCATGTCGATGCATTGGTCGCGATCGTGTAGGATAACGAATCGGGTGGAGGAGCGCAGGCATTTATTAAGTGGCGCCATAGAATATATTGCACATCAATCGCAAATGTCCTAGCACCGCTCGTCTCGATGGCAATGTTGCCCGTCAAGGTTGGTAATTCCAGATTAGCGTTCCTTGCCGCGCTCACCGCGCGCAGCTTTGTCTGGGTCAGCGTGTCCAAATGGGCGAACACTCCTGCCATACATCTACGCCCAGTGAAAGCGATTCATCCGTCGTCATGCAGGTATCCAACGATTCTGCGGGCACCGTTATCGCACGCAGTATCATGCCAGTATGCCCGGAAGATTACGGTGAGAATGTAACGAAATACGACTACGGTGAGAATGTAACGAATTACCTTACCTGCGCCATGTCTTCGGCTTGCCGCAGCGGAGACCAAACGTCCCGTTCAGCTGCACAATGAACTGCACCTGCACATCGGCGACATCGACGTGGATCACCTGTCCTTTGGAGGCCTGCTGGTGTTTGGCCGGCAGCTCCCTGATCATCTGCGCCAGTTGGGCTAGTGACGCTCCACGACACTCGGCGGGCAGCGGCATACTGCGCTTGACATGGCGTCCCACTGCATGCGGCAATGGCTCCATCTGTGAGTGTGGTCCCTTATCATCGATTTCCGTCCACCAGTCGTTTGGCAGGGGAAGGCGCAGACGCTGCTTGGTTACAATATCCGTCCAGATGGAGCCGCTTTCGTCCTATCCCTGGACGATAGCCACCGTGGCGTTATCCGTCCAAAACGTTGAGTGCGGCGTCGGATTAGGTTTTTTCGCGGGCACCCAGCGTAAGCCCCCACCGGGATTTCCGCGGCGAAGCACGTCCATGGGAATGGTCTCCCACGGCTGGTCCCTCCTGATGCTACCGTATTTCCAGTCCTCAAATTCCACTGGTTTGGGCAGAAAGACACGGTTGAATGGAATGAGTTCGTGTCGACGGTCACGGCACAGCAGATCGATGTAAAGTCCGTTGTCCGCCACATCCACCACGCGGCCATACAGCACAACGTTTCCGTTGCCCACTACGATGATGTCACGGGTCCGAACCACAAACAGGGCTAACGATGCTGGGGCACTGCCAGCGCATAGCGCAGCGCATCTGTCGAAACTGTTGCAGGACTGGGACGCAAATCTACGCCTGGATGTCGACATGATGATGCGTCTGCCGTTGACCGGGGATGTGGCATCTGCGGTGTGGAATGCGGTGGCAGCGGCGCTACCGGTCCCCAGCAGGGACGAGATGCGGGCACTGTGGGAGTGGTTGGCGGCGATCGCGTGGGAGGAACGAAGCCCCCGATACAGCCTGGAGCTGTATCGCTGGGCCGTCTGTAAAGTAAGAGAACCTTCTAAATTTTTTCAAATTATTGAGAATTATTAAGGAAGTGCAGTGTGGCGTATTTGGAAGTGCTGATGGGTCTTTTGTTTCCTTCAGCTCGTACACAACTCTCTTGGCAATCGATTGTAACTAATATTCGCAGATATCGTTGTCGTTGCTAGGACATAATATGGCTCCATTACTGATTACATGCAGACGATGCAGTGTTTGCGAAATGCTACTTCATTGTTCACTCAACCGCATTCTATGTTTGGCAGGTGTTGTGCACGTCCACGACACACACCGCGTATCCGCGTCCGTCACTGCAGTATCGCGGTAAAGAGTGATGCATGGATGGACTGGACGGACTACGTGTGGAAAAGCTGTCCCTCACAACACTGCGCTTTCTTCTGGCTCTGCGCAGTGACCTTTGAGGATCGGCTTAGCTTATTTTAGCTGTGGCGGTTGTCTTGTGCTGTGGTAACTAGCTTTTGATTATTGTTTCGCAGTAAGTAATGTTTTTGACACCGAGTTTGTGCGTAATCGTTTCTCGTGTGTGGGTTTCGGGTTTGCGGCTCGTTTGTGCTTTGACGGATTCGTAATTTCCGTTACCAAATTCCTGACTCCCTTTCTCCTTTTTTCGGAGTTTTTTGAAAGTACAGTTACCAAAATATTCGGAATTGTTTGGTGACATTTTTACTTTTAAGGTGTTTGTTTGTCAATGGAAAACATCAAATTCAAGACAAATTTATTATGGTTGCGATGCAGCACGGTAAGCTGATCACTGTATTTGCACTTTTACTACGCTTTTGCTGTGATATGTAAGAAGTATAACAAAATAAAGTGTTCCCAAGTGTTTCCCTCGAAGTTTCCCTAATTTTCAACGGAACCGCACCGCCGGTGAATCGATAACCAGTCAGGTTTGATCTTCCCAGGCAGTGAAACTCGTGTTTAACACACTTATGATGCGGATCGGATTCGGCGAACATAAAAAACACAAACATAAACACAAACTGCCTTCGGGACTTTTTCAAAGATAGATTCTGCTGTTACAGTTTGTAATCAGATTCGAATTTCGGATTGCAAAATAAAGCCGCTGCATATCTCAAGATTTTGAACTGGGAAGGGCCACAGAGTCATTTCTACACAGATACCGAGAACTGCATATGGACGATCTCCCTTCAGCTTAACCTTTACATACAGAGTATTCCTACGGAAATTGCTTTATAACGACTTACCAGTTACCAGTCACATCTACAATCTTTTAGTCAATCTACAAAAATCTGATGGTTGCCGTTGACGCAGCCACGCAGGGAGAACCGCCCAGTGTGGCAGCGCGGTTGCTCTAGTAAGTATGCTTCCCTTCGTGATCCAGTATTTCGAGGTTTTCGATTTATGAAATGCTATGTTAACGGTTAACATTTCCAAATTTTTGCGAAGTCCCCGAAATTTCGTCATTGTGTTTTCTAACAAACTGCCCAGAAATCCATCGTCAACCAACGGCACGGATAAGTCAAATCTACGTCATTTGCTACGACGATCGACATTGCATCGATCGTTGTCTGCTTATTTCTACTGCAGATCTGCTGCGCTTCATCCATCCAAAAGTCAGCCTATACACTGTTTTCCTTCCCAACGCCAGAAAATTCTTCATACAATCCTGTATTCCAGTTCTGTTGTAACGACAGTAACGGCTGTTACGCTTCGCAAAGAGAGGTACGGAGAATCTGTGGGTAGTATACAGAGTAGATATGTACGTTTCTGTTGCAGGCAGAATCCGTATATCGTGTACGGTTTCTGGTTTCTCGTGGGTTCTGCACTTTTGTAATTACTTCTGGTCTCCTGTTTGCTTTCTCTTCTGCCATGGCTATCCTTTTCATCTTTCCTGACTGTTCAGTTGCTTCCCAGCTTAGGTACGATACAGTATTGCCACCTACTTACGTTCATTGCTTGAATTCGCTTCAGCTTGCACAGTACTGTCATAGTCGTACAACATCTGCAGTAAGTACATAAATACAGAACTGTTGTATGTATCTGTACTTCTACTATGCTTTGCATTTTCGGTTATGCCCGGACACCCATTACCAAAGCCATGTTTGTCACTGTGGAACGAGCCCGTGACATCAACATTGTGGGGGACAACCGCACCCTGCTGTTCGGCCGCGTGGTGGACGTGGCGGATAACGGGCTCCACATCGATTTGCTGTGTCCCGGGCGTCGACGCGAATTCGTGTCGTTAAACAGGGTCTCCCTTTCCGAGCGCTGCCTGAATAGGTATTGGAATCAGACCGAGCCCCTTCCCGTGGAAGTGCTCCGACGTGAGTGTCCCGACGGGCCATGGCGCTGGTGTCCCGCAAAAATGATAAATCCTGCACGAATTTGGGACGCATCGTATTGGTGTGAGTTCTGGGAGTGCTCCACTGTGGCCGTGGTTGAGGGCGAGAGCGAGGGTGGTGTTACCTGGACGGACATCGTCCCCAAGCACCGTATCCGCGATCCCGTGCCGGATAACTGGTGGACGGAGCAGCGGCCGATACATTTTATGTGGTCGCGGCTGACGTTGCCCTTGCGCGTTGGACCGGGGCGCTTTGTGAAGTGCAACATGCCGTTTCCCCTTGAGTGTCGTGGGGCGTCAGTGGCGCAGCTGGTGCAGGTGATACAGGATCTGCAGACAATGTGGCGACGTGACTCCAAAGGTCAAGTGGTCTGGGTTGATGTCGCGGATGAGCAGGTGCAGTATATTGTGGAGGTAGGCGATACTCAAGATAGCTACGGGCGTCCGGAGGAATTTCCGCCGCCACAGACCCAAGACGTGGCACAGGTTTGTCGTTATCTTAGTTCTTACCCCGTGAATCATTCTTAGCCCGGTTATTGCACAAAAATACAATGCTGAATGATCCGATTCATTTTACAGTTTGACAGACCAGTTATAACTGCGTTGCTAGATTTCGCTTTTATCACAAATTGTGATTAAGAATGCGTGGATTGAAAAAAAGGCTCGAATGCTAATTTTCTAATTCAGTTTTTTTATGCATCATTCATAGAAAATTGTGCGGGCGATGCACAATGCACTAATCCGGGGTCTTCCTGGTATCTTGCGTGCGATTCAAGCTCCTGTTAAGTGTGTGAATGTTTTGGGGACGATGGATGAATGCTGTGTACTGCGGCTGGACGAGTGGCAGGAAGTGTTTACCCACTTGGACACGCCGACACAAATCCAGCTGCGCGCGGTGTGCCCAGCGTGGGACGCTGTTCTGGACTTTCCCGATTTGACGGCCAACATTATCATCGAGACGGGTGGTACTAACCCACAGCTGCTTGATTTACAGTACATCCTCACGGCACTCATCTTTAAGCGCCTGCGCTCCTCCACGAAGAATGTTATCCTCCATGACCGCGAGCAGAGCATCCACGTGCCGGAATTTTATACCATGCTGGACATGATTCACTACGTAGCACAAAACCGCCCCGGGATCCGTCTAACCGGAGTGTACGTGGCCGGCGTTACGAATTTGTTTTCGCAACCGCGCCATCCCGTTTTCTCCACGGACCCGCAAGCCTGTGAGGTGCACAAGCCAGGCGCCGGGAATGGCTTCAGCGGCCACTTGGGCGATCTGATCGCAGCGTTCCGGGATCTGCCTTGTAATGCTATCCATCTGGTCCGGTGTAGGGTGCGCCTGCAGTATGATTTGACGAAACTGCTGAAGATCTGGGATACCAGCCTGGAGCTGGATGTTGATTTGCCCTGGACGCGTGTGCCGGTGGGCGGAGATGTGGCGTCGACAGTGTGGGAAGCGGTGGAAGCGGCCTTACCGGCTCCCAGCGAAGCCGCTTCGCGGGCACTGTCGGCGTGGTTGGCGGCGATCGAGGCGGAGGACAACCACGCGTTGCATCGCATGGCGGTCTGCAAAGTGAGTAAGCGTTTGCCTCTGGCTTGGCTCGAATTACGTATCATCACTTCGAAACATCTTATGAATGGACATCTGCACAATACGGTCACATACAGTGTCTGGCCTCCCGGCTAGTCAGTACTTAATAAGCTTAAGGCTTTGACTTACGAAAGGTGTTGAATCTGCCGTAGTCGGCCCGTAGATGCAACGACCTGAACCTTAATAACAAAATCTGATCAAAAACTGAAAATTTGTAAATCAAAATATAATCAGCTTTTGAAGAACAAAATTTTCAAGCAGCATAACGGCTCGGAACCTGTAAGTAGTAATGTAACAGCGCGTAAGAACGGTAGCCCGCGAACACCGTTAACTGGTAGTCAGCAGTTAGGAAAGGTGCACCCATTTATATGATTTTTCGAAATATGGATCGATCATTAAGGGAAATACAGAATTCAGAGCGGTTTTCATTTAAGCGTATTCGGTTGCTTGACAGGTGCTGTGCACGACACAGACGGCGGATCCGCGTCCGTCGTCGCTTCTTCGTGGGAAGAAATGGTGCAAGGATGGATTGCAGGATCTGCGCTGGGAAGAGCTGTCCCGTTTTTCACTGCGCTTCCTGCTGCTCCTTGGCCGTCGCCTTTCGAAACTGCTCACTGGTCCGAGTGACAGTGGCGGTTCTCCGTTAAATATTGTCTTGAAATAATCTGTTTTATCGCTGCATCTGTGTTAGCGTTGTGGACCACTCCGGTTTGCGTTTCCGTTTGTGCTTTGCTTTGAAGATTTTACTGTTTTTTTTTGTATGTCGAAAATAACCAAAAAAATTAGAATACCCGACATCACTTCGCCATTTTTTGGGAATTGTTGGTCAGCAAAAGATGTGAATTTCCTGAATTACCATAACTTCGGGAAAAAAGCTGATCTGTCTAATTACGTAGTAAAGATAGCAGACAAGTTATCGAAAACGGCAGCTGCACACGGGTAACCGTTTCTTCAATGAACCAACCGGTGCATGCTTTTAGTTTATTAAAATCAGCATAAAGATTACAGCAAATGCTATCACGCTATTTTCGAAATTAAAACTATTATGCAGAATTAGAGTCTAAACAGCATCAGATGATAAGAAAAGGTTTTGGTAAAGAAAACACAAGCGGGCCGCCAATTTGAACACCCAAAAGGCTAAAACAAACGCCGCGACAACAGTGAGAAAAAAGAGAATCTATTGCAACGCACCCGTTGGGAGGAGAGTGCCCCTGTTATGCCGAATCCGAAGATACCAGCTGTCTGGCTACTTGGGAAAACACCTGTGCAGAAATTCAGGTAGAATGAGCAGAAATCGCAGCGTCATGCGGGACAGTTTCTCCAAGCGCAACCCCTGTAGTCCGTCCGTGCACCATTTCTTCCCGTGGTATGCCGAGGAAGGACGTGGATCCGCGGTCTGCGTTGCGCACAACACCTATAAACAGCAATTACAGTTGACCGGAAATGGATTAGCAACTCGGATCATGGCATGACAGCATAAAAATCATTCTACAAATCAAAACTTGAATGCGTTGATCGTTTTCAGAAACAGAATAACGTATACTGACGATATCCGGTTTGCGTCATGCATAGCATTTAAGAACAACCAGCTTTACGGAAAACCGATCGTCACTCTAGAAACACTGCAGTTTCTCTAAGGAATAACTGCCAGACAGTGCCGGATGTAATCTGAGTAAAACACGTTCAGAAAAAATTAGCAAAGATGGCAAATTTATTCATTATTATTAAGTTTTTAAATTCTTAAGGGTCTCACTCACTCTGAACACCATTTTGCGATATAGTTGTTTGAACTCATCGGACGCCACCACCGTCAACCACTGCGCTAACGCCTGCATCTCTTCTTCACTAGGTTCCGGTAGCGCCGCTTCCACCGCCTCCCACACCGTGGACGCAAAGTCCCCGCGCAGCGGCTGACGCGTCATGGGCATGTCGACATCCAGCTGCAAGGATCCTTTCAAACTTTCGCAATGTTCGACCAAGTAGTAGCGCACACACACTCGGCAGCGCACCAGATGTATAAAATCGCAGGGTAGATCGCGGCGGGTTTCGGTCAAGTCAGCCAGAAGACCAGACGCGGCACGCGGGGTCCCGAAATATTCGTTTGGAGGGTGCACATCGCATTCTACCAACCTCCAGTGCTCATTGCTTCGGCCGCATTCTGACGACAAGTTCGTGACGCCGACCACGTACATCCCTGTCAGACGAATCCCGGGATAGGTTCGCGCCATATAGTCCAACATGTCCAACACGGCGACGAAGTCCGTCATGTCGAAACAGTGCTTGCGGTCATGGATGATAACTTGCTTAGTAGAGGGGCGCAAACATTTGAAGATGGGAGCAGTTAAATAATACTGCAAATTAGAAAGATTTTCGCCCGTCTCGATGACAATGTGAGCCTTCATAGGAGCCGCTTTGTCCAGAATATCTTTCCACTTGGAATGCACCGCGCGCAATTTGTTCTGCGTCAGCGTGTCCAGATGGGCAAAGACTTGTTGAAATACATCCACGCTAAGCGCTGGTGGTCCATCGGTAATTCCCAGTTCGATAGAAGCCGCCATCTCGTGCAGAATACCCGGAAGGCGATTGCTAAGCATGTTGTACAATGGCTGCAGGATTCCCTGTTACAAAACGCAGCGATCAGCAACAGTAGACCTTGAGAAAAAATTAAAAGCAGGGCGCAGGCTTGGTATTAGCAATTTTGGATCGGGAGAATGGTAGGCCGCCTGGTGCTTGATTTGAGCCAATAAGCGATAAGCAACGGATACTACTTTACAGGTAGTAACTGACACAAAGTCATATGTACCCAGAACCCCAACCCGGTTCTATTCGAGAAAAAAGCGCCCATGTCTTCTTCATCCAAAAGATGTCCTTTGGATGGTTGTTTTTTGAGTTTCAAAAAGCCATAATATAGTTTCGTAGACCATGTATATTAGACGTGTAAATGTACATAAAAAGGGGCTCCATAAGTATACTGAAACATGCCGCTCTAAAGACGGCGTGTTGTGCTCCGACGATGTCTAAAGCACGTCAAAAAATTGCTTGCCGTAGAACCGGGCAAAAGTAAGTAAGTACCCAAAAAAAATTGAGGACTGCAGCTTAGCGTAACAAGGCCTTTACCAACCTGCTTCTGCGGCAACCCGATACCATCACAGTCATCACCAAGCTCCACAACACACTGCACCTCCGCATCCGCAACGTCAACACTGACCACGTATCCTTCAGCGGTATTTCTCCCATAATATTCCTTTATCAAGTGCAACATCTGTGCTGTTGACGCTCCATGACAGTCCACGGGCAGCGGCAGCATACGCCACTTAACAAAACGTCCCGGTTTGGCATACCCGAGACGCGTCTCTGGCGGCGGCAACCACATTTGCATCGGATTCGCGTTCCTTCGCACGAGACAGCGGATGCGGTGCATGGGACGATGTCCGTCCACGCGACCCCGTCGTCCTCCAGACCCTGAGCGATCGCCACCATGCAGTCTCTCCAGAACCGTGGCCGGAACGATGAGTCCCACTTCCTCGTCGGACTGATCAGTTTTGCGGGCCACCAACGCCACGGCCCACCAAGACCATCACGGCGCAGCACTTCGACGCTTTCTTTCGGTGGATTCCACATGAAATCTTGTTGGGTACAGCGCTGGGAGAGGAAGACCTATTGGAAGGGGAAGAATTCGCGTTGACCTTTGGGGCACAGTAGGTTGATGTAGAGCCCGTTGTCCGCCACGTCCACCACACGCCCGTACAGCAAGACGTTATTGTCGCCCATAACGTTGATGTCTCGGGCGCGGGCTGAAGACATATTGGCGTTCGAAGTACAGTCTGCGAACAAAGAATGTTAACGATGCAAATCAAGACCCTTTACTAACTGCTCAGCTGTCAAACAACTCAACGTGTTCACTGTTCAGTTATCAATGACCAGCGCAATCCGCACGACGTGATACTAGCCAAAAGATTTTCCGTACCTGTCAAGCAAAACAAATGCAAACAGTCGCCGGAATGTAGACAACAGATTTGGAAAGGAGAAACGTATATCGGCTGTCTTTCGAGTGGCAAAACAGCAGCAACAGAAGCTAGTCCAATGTGGGACTGTACACAACTTCACCCAAGTTCACTGAGCGATGTTCAGCGAACAACTAAGACGATAATTATTCTAGCCATTGAATGGTTGCCCTGCTGGTCCCTCCCACCTTAGTGCCTGTTAGTTCTTTCTGCGGATTTTCTTGTTCTGCATATTTCATGCATTTGTATCGAATCTAAGTGCGGATTTGCTGGCACAAAATCTGCTGTGCAAAGACCGTCGCCGAGGATTCATCCCTTTCAACAGGGTCTCCAATCCAAGAACAGTGAATTTACCGAATATGATCGTGAGCATGAGCTCAATATCATATTCGGTAAATTCTCGGTTTCGGTGGAAGTGTTGCGTCGTGAATATCTTTGCGGTGTGGTGCGTCCGTGGCCGGGTAAAATCATCAATCCGCTACTGTCAGTCTCATTATTGTGGTTGATGCACTGTACCGTGGCCGTTATCCAGGGGCAGGATGACAGCGGCGCTACCTAGACTGACACAGACTAACACCGCTACCGGTCTGTGCTAAGCCACTGATGGGCGGAGCAAGCAACGATGGAGGAGCAACGGGGGTTTCAAATGTGACGCTGCCGATAAACGTTCCATCGGGGCTTTTTGTGAAGCGCAGTATGCCGGTGCCTCGGTTCTAGTTCACAACTTTAAAAAGCTGCATCCCGGTTCCGTTAAATTCTACGGGATTATGCACTGCACGGGCCTCGGGCCCCGTATTATTCGGATCAACAAGAAAATAGCCGCCATCCACCATTAAACTGCTGATGCCGACAACACACACGGCCGTAAGGTGGACTCCGGGACGAACGCGCGCTATGTACTGAATCATGTCTAGCAAAGCAATGATGTCAGGTAAACCGAAGTAGTTCTTGGGGCAGCGGACATGCAGGATAACGTGTTTGATGGAGGGATGCAGGCAACTGAAGATGGGCGCAGTTAGGGTGTGTCCTCTGCAGTCGAAACATTGCAGATGATCGCTGGCAACGCTTATCTCGATGATAATATCAGCCAGAGCAAGCGCGTCCAGAATAGGCTCCCGCGTGCAGCACACCGAGCGCACATCAGGGTCCGTGTTACTGCGTCCAGATGGGCAAAAACTTCCTGCCACACTGGCCCACACATCCACTCCTAGTGTCGGGGATCCATCCATCATCCCGGTTCAACCGAAGCCAACGTCTCCCGCAAGAAAAAAGGAAGTAAGAGAATTAACGCACGGTGCAGTGGCTCAACGATCTTCTGTAAGCAATCATAACAACAAGTCAGCAAGGCTGAGCAAGTTGAGGAAAGTGAACGACAATCACATTTTCCCATGACATCACTGTAATCGTATCATAATAAGTTAATAACAACAGGTTTCAAAGTCGACGAACCTGTGCCGGGTCTTCAAGCTGCGGAAGCGAGACGCTATCGTGCAGGTCCACGATATACTGCAACTGCCCGTCCACGATGTCGACGCAGACCACCTGGCCGGCAGATTGACCTTGCCAGTCGAAAACATGGAACCAATCCGTGCTCGCCCTATTTCTCACCTGCAGTAGATGTGCTGCTGATGCCCCGCGACAATCAGGAGCATACTGCGCTTCGCAAAGCGACCCGGTGGAATACACACTAGCAGCGTCACATGCGGAACCCGCTGTCGCTCCTTCGATGGCCCCGCCCAC